TATTTTCGTTTAGACTGTAATCGGGTGCCTTTCGTATTAACATGTTCAGTGGAGCAGAAGTTATGTTGAGATATAAATAATGAAAGCTTTTGGTTTAAAATTAAACTATTTAAAATTGTTCCAATATGCAAAAATATATAAAATACACTACTATTAATTTTACACCTAGGATTTTTTTGTGTGATGTAGGTCTTTAGTCAGAAGGGTTGAAATTAGTCTGAACTCAAGTGTACAAGCGAGAATAGGCGGACCGGAGACCAATTCCTACGCAATCGCTCTATAATTGATTTATTGCGTAATTTATTGGCTTTATCGGAAAAACGTTTTTTTTTCTTCTTTTTCCCTCTCTCTAAGGGTTGTAATGTTTCGAAGAGTTATACAAATTTATGAAAAATGGCCGTGGATGTTGACAATCTGACGACTTTGTTGTGCGACCCTTCACAATACAGTTACAGTTATCTCGTTTAATATCAGTTCAAGGAAGGAAACGCGTAGAAATTATCGCATCAGCGTAAATTTTAGAATGGTTAACGGAGTAGGTTTTACCAGCTTGAATTGGCCACGTAAAATAGACTGATTCTCGCCAGGATTTTCTACTGCGCTTTATTGGTATTTAATGAATTTTGAAGATTTTTTGCCTCTGTTCGATTCACATTTTCGAATAATTTGTCATAAACTGTGCATGCCTTCTTGCATCGACAATTCGCATGGCCAAGATGGAAGAAGGCTGAATGTGTTTTATCATAAAAGAGACTACAAATTTCTTTAGGTTTAGTTAACTCAACTTGTACTTTTGAACATAATTTTGAAGATATGTCTGAAGTTTAACATTACTCACCGTTCCGTAAAGAATTAGACTTAGAATGGCTCAAGGTTTAGTTAAAATAGTTGATTTATAGATCTGATAGGTCGAAAGGATCATATTGATAATTAGATTGTGAAGATTTGCGGTACTCTGGCTTTCAAACAGTTTCAAAGTCAAAGTTCAACATACAATTTATCTAATCTGCTTTTAAGGTTTATTAACATTACTTTTGTTGTTTTTACTGAAAAGGTTGACAGCCTGTATCGCTTCAATTGAAGTTAACCTCGACCTCCGTGTTTTCCTTTCTATAACCTCACACTCGTTGACATCTCTTCTTTTGTAATTACCAGTTGATGATTTTGTGAAGTTCAGTGAGGGGTTTGGGTATGGTTAGGGCTGAGGAATCCCAAGGCGGCGCACTTCGTCCCACGTGATTTGCCCGAAACACCTGCTGGGTCAGCCGGGTCACTCGGTGGGCCCTTGGATTGTACAAAACACTCCAGAGCACAAAAAAAGGGCATTCTTTAGGGCAATCTTGATTTTTTCCCACGTGATTTTACTCTGTCCGTAGTTTAAACGGGTATTTCCGTTTTAGTCTCGATCCATTGAAAATTTTCCCCTAAAATTTAATATTTTAGAGAAAACACATATCCCGAGAAATATTCCTAAAAGATATTTCCAGTATATTTAAACAGTGACCCTCCAGGATATTTTAAGTTCCCCCTTCTCTCATCTTCTTTCTCACTGAACCAATAGCTGAAACCTGACATCTATATGTAAAAGGTACAGGATTTAAAACGAACCTAAGAAATTGAGCTTGACAACAATATTTGCATTATAAAACACAAATTTGAATATCTTGACGATATGTAAATTATCTTTATCAAAGCGATATCCGTATTACGCACCCTCTTAAGTCAAGTAATGAACTAGGTGGAGCGTTTCAAGTTGTCCAGGGCCATTTTCCTTTATCTTCCTCATTTCCGCCTACTTCTATTTCCCAGGTCGTTCCAGGGTTTGGGAAAGTGTCAGGTCGGACGTAAATAAACCGTGATTTGCCGAACGGAGTCGCCAGTGTGAAGTGCTTTGTAGAACAACCGTGTACCAACTGTGTCGGCGACCCCTGCCAAGTTTTATCTGGCATTTCGCACATCCCGGCCCAACAAACACCTTTGTGCCGGCCGGTTTAAGAATGAAAAATCCCTGGTGTCTACTGTCCAAAACGGCTCGTTTTGAATGGGAAACAGGGCCAAATGTTAGATGTGGACAATTACGTTTTAAGCTCGGGTTGAAATGTACCTCTGCATTGTGAGCGTACAGAACAACATTAAAAACATTAAACACATCTAAACAATAACATCAATTCATCAGAGTGTAAAAAAACTCGAACTGATTTTAACTTTAACATTTCCGGTCCGCCTGTCCTCGCCGCGCCATTGTCAATCTTACACGTCTTTAGGCCCAACGCCAACTTCAATGAATATTTTTAGTGACACTCATAACTAGTAAAAACGTTTTTCCATTTGATAATTCCTTCTTTACAAAATTTATTCATCGATGATTTTCAAAGATGATTGTGGATGATTTTACAGGGAAATTTACAATTTTTCGTTTTTTTATTGTGTTTTTCTCTCGATTTGAACAGAAAGTTTCAGTAAGTGAATTTTCAATCATGTTCCTGTTTTGTTATCAAAACATTGACACCCTCATAAAAGAATTAAAATTTGAGCGCAAGTTCTGAAGAATAGGGAGTACGAGGAAAAATGTTATTTCATGTTCGAAGTTTAAACAAAAATAAAATTGTCTTATTATTTGAAAGGATGCTAGTTGGGATGGAAATAATTTTAAAATTCTACCTGAAGGAAGAACTAGTCCATCCTTATAGTGTCAAAGCGACACAGTTTCTTATCTTTATTTGATTTGAAAGAATGTGCCCTTTCATAAGAAACAGTTGACATCGTCCGTGCGACAAAGGACTTGTTTCATTTTTCCTCGGTAATTCCTTTGGATGGATTTTAAATCTAGAAAGTTGGTTATTTTTTAACGAATTTGAGTTCCATTTACCGAAGTAGTGCTGAAGAGGGACCAGGGATTTGGCCCGAAATGCATCAGCAATTTAAGAAACATATGGCATAAAAATAAATGGTGTTTTTAGTTGAAAGAACCAACTTTATAGAATTAAAATATTTGTACCAGCAAATTAAGTAAAAATAAAAAAAAAAATTTCGGAAGGATTTGTTCCATTTCAACCGTCATTGATATTTTCTTTGAAACGGTCATAAATTGATTAAAATCGAAATTGTTTGGAGTAAAGGTTGATATAAGTTGTGCAATGCTTTTGTTTATACATTATTTATTCAGGTATGGTCGGAGCACAAAGTACGTAGGGAGGTTCTCGATTTACATCGAACTAGGGGAATGCAAAGAGTTGGGGAAAAAAGTAGAATCTATCCTCTTTTATAAACAAAGGAGAGCGAGTCCGCATGGGGACACTCGTGTCCTTCGGGACTTACCTTGGCTTAGAGGCTATCAACCTCAGGGTACAAAAATAGGTACCGACTCAGAATTTTATCTACGAAAGAGGTACTGAACCACGGACGAGGAAACCAGACGTATCCAAATGTCCAATATACGCGAAACTGGTTTCGATAATGTTTTTGGTGACGGCCTCTCTCTCTCCGCCGACCTACCTTACACACGTGGTCATCCACTCTCCCATATGATCAACTCCGGTAAGGTAAGATCTAAGGTACCCGTGACGAATTGCCCAGTCTAGTCCGAAGGTTTCCCCGGCTGGGCCTTGAACCCGTCCTGACTCAATGCCACTCCCCACCCTGACGGAGCGCTGCTCGCTCGCCCGGGTTCGCTTTTGTTTATAGCTCTTCCCCCGAGGAGTACGGGACGGTAACGCCACGGCTTCCAAAGGGGGAACTGAAAAGGGCGAAATCGAACCAGGCCCATGGCTGGTGAACAGGTAGGGGCGTCCTTTTTTATGCCTCTTAGGCCGAAAACGGGCCCCGGACAAAGCGAGCCGCCCGCTGTCCTACATACTTATGCTGCCTTTATTTAACCAACCAGTTTCCGATTCATGGAAGGGCGAACTGTCTATTCAAAGGGCAGGTTGAACCCTTAAAGACAAAGTTACGAACTTTTTGTACTCGTTAGTTCCGCTCTGAAAACGTTACTTACGTATAATACGATAACATAAATCTTGAACCTATTCGTGCTTTTACGCTCACAAAATGTTGAAATTAAAATTTACATTTTAAATTTTTCGTTAAATGTAGACGGTTATGAGAGTAGAAAGGTTGATGGAAAATATCTTCCGGGTGTTATCAAATACCAAAAGTTGGTTTAAATGTCTCTGCCTTTAATAGGCCAACCACAAAATATCTGAAAAAGCCTTTTATCTATATAGTCATATACATTTATCCATTGATGTAGAATGTATCATTGTTCATAATCTATTGAATGGAAAGTTCTTTGTCTAGTCTAAGGTTGAAAAGAACTTTCTGATAGCTAATATTTTGAACGAAAGTAATGTATTTCACAGAAGATCTCATTTGTTTTATACGTTAGATTGGAGTGCATCTTTTGATGGGAATTTTCCCATCCCGGCTCAGTTTAGTTGAGATGTCGTTGTTTCTACTTCCGCCACGGCACGTTGCCCTGCGAATGACGACTGTCCCGTTTAATTCAATTTTAATATGGCGCGTTCAGATGTGTGAACGCTCGTCGACGGGGGAGTAAGAGGTCATTCGACCGAGTGGTCCGAGAGTTATTCCTGGGCATCACTGCACTTGCCCCCCACGCTCATTCAAGGACATTCACTTGCCTGTGCCCCTCCATTTCACTTTTTTCTACATTCCCGCCGTTTTCTTCTGTCCGATTTCGCCGTGAGGTTGGATGTTGGAAGGGCGGGAATCAGTCAAAAATGTGATAAAGTATGACCGTTATCACAAATCCTATGGTGAGACGACACTAGTTCATGCTGCTTACCGTGGCAGAATGTTGCAATATATCTCCCATATGAACTCAGGATTCAAGACCATTGAAGGCTCTTTATTGCCCACGTGTAAAATTTGTGTTTGAAAGCCTTTAAACATTACTAGATGGTAGTTCAAGAATTGTCGTCTAGTCACATTTGACCATTGTTAAAATTCTTTTATACTGATAAGTTATTTGTTTGTTTCAGGTTGTAAAATCAAGTCTCTGAGAGCCAAAACAAACACCTACATCAAGACTCCCGTCCGCGGCGAGGAGCCTGTCTTCGTAGTAACTGGGCGCAAGGAGGATGTTGCGAAGGCGAAGAAGGAGATCCTGTCTGCGGCGGATCATTTCTCGCAGATCCGCGCCTCGAGGAAGAACAACCTCGGTGGCTGCGGGGGTCTGTCTCCTCCTGGGCCGCCTACCAACGTTCCCGGTAACGTCACCATCCAAGTAAGGGTGCCCTACCGTGTAGTAGGTCTCGTCGTCGGCCCGAAAGGCGCCACGATCAAAAGAATACAGCACCAGACGCACACTTACATCGTGACTCCTTCCCGTGACAAAGAGCCTGTGTTCGACGTGACAGGCTTGCCGGAACACGTGGAAGCCGCGAGGAGAGACATCGAAGCGCACATCGCTCTCAGGACCGGAACGGGAAACATCAACGGGATTATCGGCAATGGGTCGAACAGCATAATTATGGAAGAGGGGCAAGAGTTGTTGACTTCCCTTTGTAAGACTGGCTTAGGGTCGCTCTTCAGCGGCAACACGTGGAACGACTCGCTCCCTTCACAGACCGAGAACAGAATAGATTTCCCTTCTGCGTTTTCGGCCGGCAGCTCGGGATGTAGCTCGGCCTCTTCCAGCTCGTCCAACTCGGGCGGTACGAATCTCGGCGATCTCGGCTCCATCTGGAGCATGTCTTTGGACCGGGACGAGGGCATCGGAGAGTCACCTTCCTTCGAGTCGGCGACGGCGTCTTCTAGCATCTGGTCCTTCCCGACTGTGACGAGACCTTCTCCTCCCAATTCCGCATCGCCCGCGGAGTCTCTGAGCGGCGGGAAGAGGGAGTGCTTCGTCTGCTCCGAGAGAGAGGTCACCGCCGCCCTGGTGCCGTGCGGACACAATCTCTTCTGCATGGAATGCAGTGAACGACTATGCGAAGCCACCAACCCCACCTGCCCGGTCTGTAAAATACAGGTATGCCAAGCCATACGCATCCGATCATAAGCCTAATAAACAAAATGATGCCTTTCTTTCATCTACTTTCGCCCTTGCACTCTCCCTCTTCAGATAACCTCATCTCTTACCTCATAAAATAACCACAAATTTTTATATAGTTTTGGAATAGCTGTGAATAAATAATCAGCCAAAGAAAGAAAGGTCCCTATACCGTGGCCAGTTCACCATTAAGCGGAATTATGTATACAACGAAAGTAAATTATTGTATATTTTTATGTTATATATTTTATGTTGTTTTTAGTTGTTTATAATATTGAGAGATAATTTCCTATTTTTGTACTTGTTTGGTGATCTCTGAATCATTAAGATAAGCATAGATTCCTATGTCAAGACACTGTGTTAGGTCACAGGACTTATATACGGGCAGTCACCCACCTAGTTCCAAACCTTTGACACTATGTACTAAATCATTTTGATATTTTTAATTGTATTAGAAGTGATTCGAAATCTCAGTTCAAGTATTTTTAATTTTTATTTTTTTAACTTTTTTTCATTTTGATTTCGGTGTTTTCATTATTTCGGTGTGATTGTAAATGAATGAAAGCACTCTAATGTGTTGACTAGAGACTTTACTGTTCTTTATGATGTACTACTTATAATTCTGAGGGTAGGGGAAGACTTTTTGCGAATACGAGGGCGAATATGCGAGTCAATCCGGTGCAGAAATACAATCTGATGGTGCATCAGTGTGTTTTATACATACATGTATACACATACACATGCGCGTAATAAAAATGCTCCAATAATAATTATTTAAAAAAAAAAGTAATAATAAGAACCATTCCTTGTTGACTACTAGACTGCGGTATAGTATAGAAAGAATAAGTAAACATATCCCAATATGAATTGTTACAAACTGTTGATTGTTTCTGTTTTCTAATATTCTTTTCATTGTGATATAGCCATAAGTTATTGATAAATGAAAGTAGAAGCCTTTATATCTTATAATAGTAGGAATAGTAATTCTTTTGAGTTTGCCAAATTTGGCAGTAAACAAAAAAAAAAGCTGTAGCATTGACTTGTGTATACGCATTTTAGATTTGAGTGTCGTGGCTTCGATTAGAATTTAGTACCTGTATATTTATGTTAAACTGTAGTTTATTAAAAAAGAACAAAAAATTAAAAAAAAAATTATACGATGCTCAATGGGTGCCCAGAGACGAGCAGTTCAACCCCTCGCGTTCGCATAAAGCCCTCGGGAGACTATCCTCATTAAATTTAATTATATAAAAAAATATAAATCAGATAAATATTTTTTTCAGTATTTGTTTACTTTTATATAAAGAATTAATAATTATTGATAATATTATAAATGTTCTAATATATCTTTGTGTTTCTACTATTTTAGTGTTGTGTATTTGTATAAAAGTACTAAACCTGCCATGCCTATGGGCTAAGAAGTTACGTTAGTTAATTTTTTTGTTTTTAAGTGAAAGAATATTGAAAATTCATAAATTTATATTTTTTGTTGTCTCCTAATTTAAGTAGCGTTAAATTAGTTCACTTTTAAAAGCAGTGATTTCTTTTTATTGTTTTTTTTTTATTTACCTTTTTGAGTCTTTGTGAAAGTTTTCTTACATTTATTTTTATATCATATATCACTTAGTTGACATACCCAGTTTGAAGAATGTTCAGAGGAGGGGTAATTTATTTATTTAAAATAGATAAATATGTTTCGTATATATAAATATATATTAGAAAAATGATTATATACCTCTTGACGGGGGCCTCTCGAGTTCTCTGAGCTTACTTCACACATGGTTATATAGTTTTAGTTAAACTGTTGATATTTGGATTTTGTTTGATTGTCCTATATTATTCTAGTATTTTATAGTTGCCACAATATAATATAATTCTGTATATATCTATATATATAAATATTTATCTGGTGGAAAATGAGCATTTTACCCACCATTGCACAATGTAAACAAAGGTATTAGTAATAATAATATATAAAAAGGTATAGCTTTTTTTCTATTTTATTACATCTCTATTGTGTGTATATGTATATATATGCGTATGTAAGATGTACATTAACATATATATACATAATAAAATAAAATATTACTATAAAGGATTTATAACGTAGCTATATTGAAAGAGAATATTTAGACATGAGAGTTATTTTTTACGTTAGTATGCTCAAATGATTGATGGAAGTGGCACAGCTACCAAAGTGTTTCCAAGTTTTATCAGTGAATTGTCTTCCCATGAAGAGAATCATCTTAGCAAATTTATTGATATTTAAGTTTGCATAGCTTTTAACTTTACCTTCTGGGTATCAAAAAAAAAAAAGAAAAAAAAAGTAATATATTTATATGAAAAAATATTTGATATTTTTCCTTCTGATGGTTTGCACATTACTCGTGACGTAATAAATAAAGCAATCTATCTTCAGTAATTATATTAATGTCTTATATATGTTGTACCTTTGATATTTATCACGTTCTGAAACGTGGATAGATGGTTTATTATGTGTTATGCAATAAAAAGAAAAGAAAAAAAGATCTGAATGTCCCGTTCTAAGAGATTATATACATGCCAAGTATATTCAATTGGTTTTTATGTGATTAATTGTCGAATTTTTTATATTTTGTTGTACTCAGAATATATCTGTTAGTTTAATTGTTGGCGTGTTATTATTCTTCAATAAATGTGAAATTACAAAAAAATTAAAAATTACTTAAAAAACTATTATATATCTGACATTTCCATTTCTTATATCAGAAATATATATATAATTAATATATCCGTAACAGATACTGCCGAAACGGAAGGAACCTCGGTGGAGCTGTATTAGCTAGCTTTCGACTGATAGTTTAATAATAATGTGTCAACATTTTTTAGGATTGTTAAATTTAATCTTATATAAAAAAATATATATTATACATATGTGTAAGAAGAATAGGTTCAGGCCTAATTATATAATACATATATAAAAGTAAATTAAGAATGTTAAAAGGTAGAGAAAAAAAATGCATGTATCTTTTACTACCTTGACTCTTTTATTGAACAAGGTTTAAAAAAAAACATATATATATATTAAAAAAAATACAAAAAAAATCAGTTTACAATACTTTTTATTAGAGTTTCTAATAGAGATTTAAGATGTTTTTTAGTGGCGGGGAGGTATTGTTGCACAAAAATCACCTTGTGGAAACACAAGAGCCTAAAGCAATAAGTAGTTAAACCAACAATGCCCTCCTACCCGTTTTGTATCATTGCAAATGCTCACCCGTATTAATCAGGCAAAAGAGAAAATAAATCCAATAAATTATAAAACAGTTTTTGTTAAAAAAACAAACATTACTCATTTTAAACAGTGTGCTTGTTTTTACTGCGTGTACGTACGTACGTGTGTGTGCATCCTACTGCATGTCAACATTGCGAGCGATATTACTACGACATGGCTGTTCTTTCTTAATAATTATCATATTTTTTAATGTAATGGAGAAAAACAAGTAATAATTCGACAATCAGTTGTATCGTTATCGTAAAATTTCGGCTATAGAGCGGGAGAAAAATAATTGTCTTGAGATTACCAAGTGAATTATGCAATACCCTTGCCTTCATATTTTCTTTTTCGAGTTTTATTTTAGATCGAATAGTTTATGTATTAGGGGTGGTTCACAATCAAAAACTTTCTTTGTATCAGGGCGGTTTTTTATGCCCCCCAGAGTGATGATCATAGGTGTAGTGTTTAAGTTCATATATTAGAATATTAGAGACCACTTCAATCTAGTTCTGATATTAATACAATCCCCCTCCGTGTTAATCTATTAAATAAATAATTGAAGGATTGGTAGAGTGTGTGAAAATATATATATAAAAAAAATAGCTGAAATGCTACTTAATGTTTAATACTCTTTTATCTTTTATATCCCATTTCTAGGTTTAATTGTTACGACAAAAGACATTATTTATATCAATTTATTGTATTGTGTTAGCTCAAAATTTCTCCTTAATACTTATTAATTTAAAAATTAATAAAAAAAAGATTATCTACAAATAAAAGACATGACAAAAAAAAGCATAAATTTAGAAGCTTCTTATACTGTTTATGACATTGTTATATATCAAACGAGATATAATTAAAAAAACAAAACCAAGATTGGACGTTGTAAAAAAATAATCAAATTAAGGATAGTGAACTGAACAGAGTTAAAGAAAATATATATATATATTATCAGACATATTAAATATAAAAAAAAACAAATAATATAAAAAATTAGCAAATGTAGATTCTGAAGTGATGGGGTTCTCTACTGACAATGAGCCATATTTTGTATTAATTTATTATCGCTTAAAAGTATATTTTGTTATAAGGAGAAAAAACTGTTTTATACGTAATATTGAAATCCAAGACTAAAATTATTTGTATGGCTAGATAATACAACATATGTTCCTTTGGATACCGCATTGGAAACTATCATTGCCTATTATATTCCATTTTAAAAATAATAGACTGCTATCATTATTATAGTCTTGGTTGCCATATAAAAGTATATATTTGTACTAATTATAGAGCCTTCCAAACAAAATTGAAGTAAAAATAAAAAGTAAAAATTATCCTATTTATGGCTTTCAAAATGTATTTCTACCACAGGTTTTGGCGCGTTAAGCTAGTTGTATTTAAAAAAAAGAGAAGTCAGTAGTGATTTGAACCGTTGACTTGGTGAACCGTTGAAATAAATTTGTCTTTTTTTCCAAATTAAACCCTGGACAGTGCCAAAAAGCTTCTAAAGGATGCCGGAATACCCCCCAAAAAAATCACTAAAATTGCTCAAACCATACAATAAACCCCCGCGCTCTGGCCTTCCGTCTCAGCGCCGTGGGAGATCTAAATTTTTTATTTTATTTAAATGTTAAAATGGTGCATATTTATCTATTTAATCTAATCTATATATAAATATTTATCTCGTAGACGGTTTATTTACAAAATTTTTTACAATTCGCTTCTCTCTTAGCGTAGTGTTCAAGGCACGTTGGTCAAATTTTCAATTATGCTACTTATTACATAGGTCAGTTCCTTAGTATTTTGAACTATTTTTCTTCCCTTTGAAGACATTAATCTCTGATGTAATAGGATGTCGAGTGTTTCTACAATTTTCTACCTGGAGAAGTATATGCCAATTAGAGGATGATTAAGTGTTAACCCGGTTTTGAATAAAGTTTTATGAGTATTAAGAAAATGATTTTTATATGTCGCAACGGGTAGTCTGAAGAGCCTTAATTGTTTATATAAAACGAATTTTTCTGTTTTCTTTTTCTTTTTAATTTTTAAACGGTAAATGTAATACGTGGGACATGAAAATGAGCTTGATTAAATTTATTTTGTTCGTCTTAAGTTGTACAATTTAATAATATAGTATTATAGTAAAATATTCTAGTCTTTTTAAGATTTTCTAGTGAATGAAAAGGTCCCGCTCGATTTCGGCTCTGCGGATTACCGGTTTAATCTAAATAAAAATTATCGTTAAATAAAAACAATCAAACACCAATAAAATTAGTTGTACGGGCCTGTCTAAGATACAAAACAACTTCGCCTAAGTATGCGTCGCAGCGGCAATTTGCTGCGCGCAAAACTTCGAGACATAATAGATTTAAAAACAAAAAAATAAATAAGATTAAAAAAAAGATAGGATATTCAAATTGCCAATGAACATAATCAAAGTGATGTAAAAGGACTTAAAAGTGTTACTCTCCCACTAGCTTCCCATTGTGTTCTGCATAAACTACTAGTAAATACATATATATTGTATATATATATATATATTTATATTTATATATACGTATATATGATTGATTAAAGTATGAAATAAATATATATTAAGATAACCATGTGTATGTACATTTTGCAATATTCACCAATAGCTATTTTAGAATAAAGGGTATTTTATACGTAACATATTGTATTTTGGTACTATATTAAACAATGTGGATTATTTATTTTACAAATATTATAAAATATAAAAAAACAGTATTTTATCCAATTAAAGTTAAAATGTTTGATATTCTAATCAAAGGAGATATAATTTTAATTTTATACAACACTGACCCTCACTGATTGTCATTCACTTAATGTTAACCAGTATTGGAGTTTATATTTAAAAAGAAAAATAAATAAAAAAAATATATATGTATATGAAGGGACAAAAAAAAATGAAGTCTTTTTATATGATAATGATTTGTACTTATAAATATAGATTATAACTATGTTTTATTACTATATAAATGTTTTGTTTGTAATATCTCGCAGATTATATATTATATATATATTAATATATGTTTTTTCACTACAATATGTCGAATAAATATAATAATGGTTTTTATCTAGAAAATGTCAAACGCCTTTTATTTTTTCTCTCCACATAACCCTCAACCCATTAATATATGAAAAGCTAAAAAAGGTATATATGTATTGTTTCTGTCTTAACAGAAATGTATGAAAATTGAGGTAGAAAATCGGCCTTCTTAATAACAATTGATCTGAAATTATTTAATAAAGTTTAAATGATACAAAAAATTATCAGAACGGCATAGAGAATCATTGTCTTAGCATCAAACACATAAAATAATCATTGAAAAATGTGTAATTGTTAATAAATAATAAATTAATAATTTCCCCTCTATGTAATTTAAGAAGATAATGTAGACATCAATGGAATAACGTCCGTAGATAATATCAAACATATAATAAACAGGCCCTAGCACAATCCGCGGTATATGCGATACAATCTTCCGGTTGTAACACTTTTTGTCCTGTCTAAATATAATAATATTATAAATCCATAATTGGCCACGGAGAGCTTTAATGAAGATATACTACATTTTACTTATTAAATCCATTATATTTCGTGGTCCGATTGACCAAATGGTTTCTTTCAATTAATTAATCTGTATGTAAGTTATTGGTTGAAATGGAAAAGTTAGTGCCACGAGCGGAATTCGAACCCACGACCTTCGGCTAAATACAACGCTTCTCTACCACTTGAGATATCGTGACTTCGATCCATTATTTATAAACTTGTTTAACTGCATATGGCGGTTGAACAAGTATACTTTATGTATAAGCGGAAAATAAAAATATGAGTGATCATTCTCAACGAGCTTAAAGTGGACGATCGAAATGTAAAAGGTAAAAAAAAAATATACTAGATTCGATATGTAAATGGCATTTCGACACAGTACAATTTGGACAAATTTCCAGTCACTTGTCAAAACCAAATAATTTGGGATCATTTCAACTTCGATTCGGAAAGGTAAGTATTCAAGCTTAATAAAAATAGTCTTAAGTTAGTTTTATTGATAAGTATGACAGGAAAGCGATGAATTGTCAGCAGTTTGATAGAAATCTATTATCTGGTCCGCTTATTCTCGCTTTTTCAGCCAGACAAGATAAAGTTAATAAATAACATTATCAAATTTTAGCCTTAAAGTATTATAATTCTATATTAAAAAAACAACATAAAATTTGTTTCATTTCGTTCATATTTAACATTGTAAATGTTTAATAATAGTTCTTTCAATTAATTATTTTTTTATAAGGTCTTGGTTGAGATGAAAAAGTCAGTGACACGAGGATTCGAACCCATGATCTTCGAAATTCGAAATATTGCAAAAAAATTTCAAAAATTAATCTTTTTATGTAAGGTTTTGGTTGAAATGAAAACGTTAATGTCACGAGTGGGATTCGAACCCAAGACCTTCGGCTAAATTCGCCGCTGCTCTACACTTGAGCTATCGTGACTTCGATCCTCAGGAACACCAACTCTCCATCTCAACCTACAACCGTTCGAATTTTCCCTCTTTTGGGCATGTTCAAATGTCGGGTAATCTGGGTTCGATTCTCAGCGACTTACGAAGTCGAATCCCGCTCGTGACCCTGACTTTTTATCTCAATCAAATCCTTACATAAAAAGAATAATTAATTGAAAGAAGTAGCTTGGTCAATTGACCACTAAAACATTAATGGTTTAATAATAGTTTAAGCCATGATAAAAGGGGATATAATAAATATTATCGTTTTATCTCAAATTGGCCTCTTTATATAAAATTTAATAAGAATCATTTTAAACAATGTGGCCACTTTTACAAATAAAGTATACTATTAATAACCAGTGGTGAAGTTTGTCCCTCCCGGGTCCGACTGGTCTCGCTAATTGCCTGCATGACGAGTTGTACAATTCATAATTTCCAGTTGATAACTCAATTATGTCAATAAGAGGAAATGTCAGTTTGATAATAGATCGAAATCGAAACTGTCAGGTCCGCATAGTTTAGCTTTTACCAGACTACGCTCGCTTCTATTACAGGTTTTTCATACGACTTATCAAGCGTAAAGCTAATAAAATATATAATTTATTTGAAGCTTGCACTTATCAAAATACAAATAAATATGTACATCTGGTTTTTTGTACGATACTGATGCTGTATGAGAGACCAGCACCCAAAATGAGGGTTGAGATCTCGAATCGCTTCTGGGAATGGAGAAGGAATGATTTTATTAAAAACAATTTAGAAGATTATGTGAATCGAGGATGTGTATTAAATGTTTTAAAAGGAGTCTTTCGAGTAGAAAGTACAGATTTGATTTGGCTTTGATTTTGAAAGTTTGAATTTGATTCAGGTGCATGCATCGACTATTGAAGGAGATTCTGGAGATCTCGTGGTTCCGCTAATTGAAATAATGCTCCACAATTCATCCCACTATGCAGTATTCTTCTGTCAGAGATTTATGTTTAAAGCAGTGTTAGAATGCTTTCGGCAAACTGGCATCCA